TTCTTTTTCTTTTAAAAATACCTTTTCAGGTAGTTCAGAGTTTCGGAGAGCCGCAGGGTGACGGAGTTCTGGCATAGTCGTCGTCGCGTATTTTTACTTGTAGAGACTCCACTGTAGTTTTGAGTTTTATCCATACATTAGAGTTTCATATTAATATTGTAAAGGCAGTGTGCCTTAGTACGATTCTTAGTTGATTCATGTTGAGACATTTTCATTATTCAGATATCAGATGTATTATAGTTGAGACATGATTCTTTTCATTTATGAGATATCTCTTCTATATCATGTCTATTATATTTATTCCCTTTATTTTGCCTGTTTGTACCTGCACTTCTATTTGGTTCTACTAGAGGATATTATTGTGATTGGTGAAACATGTTTATGCACAGTGTGGGTGCATGGCAGGTTTGACATATTTGGTTTCACCTTGGACTACAGCCTTGTGTGAACCTAGGGGCGTCACAGTCTTATGCTAATCTAATCTGGTTTTATGCCAATTAAAACTTATTAATAAACTATTCTTGTAAGATAGATATACAATATGTTATGAGCAAGAATATGCAATATGATCAAATAGATATATCCTAGCAACGAGGTATATGATGAAATATATGCAAGGATATATAATTAACATAAGGGTAAACAATCTAAACTAAAGATACAATTATGATAGGGCAATATAAACAATACAAACACACAATATAATCACAAAGTTCGGACCTTCTGTCCTATGTCTCCGCTCCCCACTTCGGGGGAGAAATCCACTATCACAACCGGGTTTTCTACGCTCACCCGAATAACGTTTACACCACACAATACGGTTTTCTAGCTAACCAAAAATTTTACAATCCACACTCTTGTAATCCTACTATACACCCTCACAAGTATTGGTCTCTAGCCCGTGTCTCCCTCAAGTGTTAGGAATTATAACCTACCTCTAGGCATTACCACATACTGTACTCCTCTTGGGACGACCCCTTCTCTCACCACACACTCCTCTCAGTGTACAAGTGTATTACAAAGTGATCTACACATTTAGGATCACAAATACAAATTTGTTCTCTACAATAGATGAGAACTCAATTAAGCTCACTCTTAATTGTTACAACTCCCCACAATCTAATTATACAATGTATGCAAATACAACTAGCTCAATTGTTATGTGTGTAAGCAATGAGAAAATTAATCATAAACTCAATGTAAACCCTAGCTTGATGAAAATGATAGAGAAAATTAATCATAAACTCAATGTAAACCCTAGCTTGATGAAAATGATAAACAACAAATAATTAACACAAAGCTAGTATTGAGTTTAGAAATTTAGCTTGATGAAAATGATAAACAACAAATAATTAACACAAAGCTAGTATTGAGTTTAGAAATTCTTCTCTAAAAAACAAGATGGAGATGGATTAAAATGAAGCTTCAAACAATGTAGATGATCTCCTCCACTTGTAAGAAACCTCTTCACAAACAAACATTTTTAAAACACACTAAACAAACTTTAAAACCATTGTTAAACTTGTTTAAAACATTTCTTGATCATATTAGAACTGAGGTATAAGGGGGTATTTATATGAAACCATAAAGCCAAGAGAAAGCCAAGAAAAGACCAAAAAAACCAACCCAAAAATAGCTGCTGGAAATAGCTGTTGGAAGTCAACGGTAACTACGACGGTCGACTGTGGAAAAACGTGCGGTCGACCCGAGCAGCTCAGAAACAAAATCTGAGCTCAGGACAACAGTCGGTCGACCGTGGCGGTCGACCGCAAAACTCTCTCGACTTTATCGGTCGACCATCACGGTCGACCGACGAGCCACTAAAAAACATACTGAGTTCTGCCTGGACTGCAAGGTGGTCGAGTGACGATCGACCGCAAACTCTTTGCGACTTTAACGATCATCACGGTCGACCGCGAGCAACAAAAAACCATACTGAGTCTCTGGACTCAAGGCGGTCGACCGTGGCGATCGACCGCAAACTAATATATGACAATATGTAGGTTTGAAGCAGTTTTCTGATTTTGAAACCCTGTTTAAAATATCAAAAATTTTAGAAAAATATAAAACTTTGGGAAATGATTATAGACATGATAATAAACATGCTACAAAAACTGGTTTTATAGACTTAAAGAAAGATATAAACTATTGTTATTAAGTCTATAAACAATGAATACAATATTTTCACAAATACAATAGAATATGAAACATATGAGTATGTATATGAATATATTTTTGTTTCATATCTATGAATTTAAACCAAAACAACTTATCCACATAGAAAATGAATATGTATAAATAATTTTTTGAATTTGTTTGTAAAAACTTTGTTTGTGGATAAAACCAAAAACCAAGATGTGTATATATATAACTATATATATATACATAGAACCAATAAAATGTGTGTGTATATGATTGAGCTTAAAGTACGAACACACATAATATAACACCTAAACTAAATGTTACCCAAGCAGTCTTGATCTTCAATAAGCTTGACTTGGTACACTTGCGGATGAAGCTTGAACTTGAATCTTTAACTTGAATTGTGTTGCTTCATTCCACTATTTCCGTCAACCTCCATTTGATATGATCGTTGTAGCGCAATTCCATCCATCCTCCAACATATTGTTTGTCTATAATAAATAGATAAACACAAACACTAGACAAACAACATTAGTGGTAAATTATTTGTTAAACATTATTAAAACAAAGAGGCCAACAGATTTCTCCCTGGGACTGGGGAGTGGAGATGTAGGACGGAAGGTCCGAACTCCGTGATCATCTTTGTGTGTTTGTAATTGCCTAGGTGTCTCACTTGTGCTTATTGTTCATTTCATTCTTGTCGCCATTATCTATTGATCATAGTGACCACTATCTTGTTTGTGTTTATATTACCCTTAGTTTCATATCCTCGCTCATATATCTCATAATATATATCATTATTAGGATATTGGCATTTGTTCATATTGCATATTCTTGCTCATAACATATTGTATATCTATCTTGCAAGAATAATATTTGAATTAGTTTTAAACGACATAAAATCGGATTAGATTAACATAAGCCCCTAATCACCCCCCGCCTCTAGGGTCTAATACTTTGCGCTTAGACCCAAAAAACCAAAAAACAAACTTTATGGATTAGATATTTAGTTAAAAATACATTGTAGCTAACCACTTAAGATAAAAAAATAATGACTCACAATATATACAAAATCATTAAATTAAAAAATAGATTTACATATAATATTGAGTACTTTGTGTTTAAAAGTAGCTTTGAAAATGAGCGAGTTTAAAAATAAATAGTATGACTTTTGATTAGAACGAAAATATACAAGATTATAACAAAATAAACTCAAATATGATGAGTGGTGAAAATGTGAAGTGAGTTTAAGTTTTGTTCTTATGAGTATTTTGGATCTCAAGAGTGATCTTGGAGATGAGTGAATTTAATAATAAATGAAGGCAAGATTTTGGGCGTATACGCAAGAATTCCTTTTAGGAAGAGAGTAAGTTTAAAAGTCAATAGGCTAAAATTTTGAGTTTATACACAAAAAAATATTTTCTATGTCGCCTCATTGGCATGGTAAAAAACAAAAATGCAACACTATTAAGTATTTTATTTATAAAATACATGGTGCACCAAAATAGTAGAATTTCTATAAAAATAACCTCTATAAAAATAGGGTGGTTTACACCATTAAATGAATAACCATAATTTACAAACTAACCATTTAATCACTCATGAGTGGTATAGATTACCCTACTAGGTAAGGTGTTCTGATAGAATCCCTACTCTACCTAAATACTTAGAAAAAAATTTACATGTTACAATAAAATATAACAACTTACATGTATAGAAAACTGCTAGAATGTTTTTTATTTAGAAAAAAATCTTTGTAAAGTGGGTGAATTGAAAAATAAATTAAGCATAAAACCTTGAACTTATAGGAAAAAACATATCTACCATTTACAACATGGGAACAATATGAAAAAAAAACCTAAACTAATGCTTAAGCATTTGGTCTAAAACACTATACACCTAGATTCATAGAAAAAAAATATAGCAAGTCAAAGTGGAATATAACAACTTAAACCATATATACAAACGTCACAAATTGAGCTTAAAAATAGGTTGGTGCAATTTTTTTTTGTCTTCGAGAGTGATTTTCAAGGTGTGTAGTTTAAAAATAAATGTATCTAATACTTCAGATTTATAATAAAAAAAATCCGTGTAATGGGTAGGTTTGAAAATAAATAAGATAAGATTTATAGCTAAATAATCAATCAATAGTTGCAACTTATGATATAACAAATTTATGAAATATAAATTAAGTTTAAAAGTAATTCACTAGAGTATTTTAGGTCAAAGACTAATTATGAAGTGAGTGAATTTAACAATAATTAGGGAATTTTGGGTTTCTAGCAAAATAAACTCTTTATATGGTCCTTCATTATATTATTATATTATATTATTGGAGTTGATTGAGTATTTTAGGTTTATTATTAATTTTTTAAGTGGATGCAATAAAAAGTAAATTGGGTTACCACATTGGGTTTATAGATGAAATCTTATTTGTTTGTTATTACTTTTAACTACATTTATTTATTTATTATATACTTGAGATGTATTTTTTAAATGATGGACTTATAAGCAAATTGGGTTGAACGATTAGATTTGTAAATAAAAATTACTTATTGTTTTTTTTAACAATAAGCTATTATGTCTACTATAGAATAAATAGTGCCCAGCTAAATACAAACTCCAATAGCTTTATTAAAAGGGTGACACTAGGGGCACACTCCCAACCACACCCCCTCTCTTATGTGCTACAGTGTACCGGTTCCCATATGAGATTTTAAAATTTTAAAATCCTATGTGGAACCTGGTGCGAGATGTGGTTGGGGGTGTGCCCTGTCATTTTTCTTATATAAAGGAAGGAGATAATAAATTGCGGCAGTGTCTAATCTCAATAATATCAGGAGGGGAGAAGGCCCAAAATGGAGGATAAAGATGAGCAGGAAAAATTAGGAGGTTGTGGTCGCAACTGCCTATCCAAGTGCTGCCTTTCTCGCCAAGGTACTGTTGCTCTCTACAAGATCTTCATCATTTACTAAATCAATATCACTTCATTTGTAAAACCCATTTTAATCACGATATAGTGTACTATATATATAAGATTAATTGCCCACCTGTAGTTTGTTGAGAATTCGTGCTTTACTTCACTGAATTTTTGCCGTGAGACCAAAATCCTAATTCGAGAATTAAATACTCGAGGAGTGTGATGTTGGACAACTTGGATATCTCGATTTCAGACACGGCCTCAACAAAAGATAAGGTGGAAGAAAGGATAAATGAAGTGGTTCTAAATGATTGAAGCTTGAATTGGGAAGAAACAGGCCTTTTCTATACCAACTAAATTTGTTGAAACTGGGCACGAACGCTTGATTTCCACGTTAGGATATGACAGTGCCAACATATTTCTCATATGGTTTAAATCTTCTCGAAAGCTGTGTAACGGAACCTTTTTCGCCATTACTTCATATTTCTCATATGCTTACTTCGTATGCTCTTATGATTTATGGAGGTTTTCTCATGATGACATCTAAAGAGAAGAACATGAAACTTACTGTGCAAATGTGAGATTAAGAGGGAGATGTCATGCTGGATCTCTTCAAAGATACTATGCTAGATCTCTAACATATGTGAAAAGCTAGTTGATTTTATTGCCATGACCTTCCTTTAATTTAATTCATGTAGTGAGGATGCCTGATATCAATGAGTTATTTCGTTTTCTTCACAAATCTTAAATCTTTGTTCTAGTTAGAGTTCTCATTGTAGGTGTTGTAACGGTTAAAAATGTTCATGTCGAGCAAGGTAGTTGTAAGTTTTCATTTATGTGATTAGTCATATAGGTCTTCTAATGTGCTATTTGTTAAACCCATAAGGCTAGAAAATCTCAGAGCTACATCCAAGCGTTCAAAAGTTATGTCTTTTCATTTATGTGATTAGCCATATAGGTCTGCTAATTCTGGTTTGTGTGCTTTTTTCTTTTCAGTAAGAACTCCAAGCCGCAAATTGAGCACTTCTTCAAGCTCTTCTGATTGCCTTCTCATCCGTCAACAATTGCAGGTAATTTTACTGTTATTTTAATTTTGTTATGTCGTGATTTCTTATTTTGGGTCATAGGAAACTTACATGTTTTGATGAGTAATCGGGTTAATAAACTGAATATATGAGTTCTTGGGTGTCGAAAGAGATATATATGTAAATATGTGACAAATATACACACATATCCAGCATACTTTTTCACAAAATAAAAGTTAAGAAGAGAAACACCCAGATCCACGTTCATGTTCCATAAGAACGCGTTTCAACAAGTTTGTCAATTGGATAGAAAGATTACCGTACGTCCAACCCTAACGACTATCAGGTAGCGGAAATGTATAGAATCCAAACTTAGGAATTCGCCTTTTCCATCCACAATGGGAATTCCTAATATCATGCATAAATGTCTTAAAAACTTGTTATCAATTAGAATCGTGATAGGTCATTTACATCTGATAGTTACTAGTATGAAACCATCATGCATGCTCAACTCCCCAGCTGGAGTTAAAAGTACTAGCATTTGTTATCAATTATAATCTATACTTATGAGTTCTCAAGATAAATTATGTCATTTATTGAGAATAGAACTGTTGAAAACTTGCTATTGCAAGTCAAACAGATGGGATTAGGTTGAAAAGTCCCTCAAATATGTTTTAGACTGACTTAAAGTCCCCTCAAATATGAGTGATGTTTTGACTACAAATAAGGCCATTCACAATCAAGATTAAAAATAAATACAAGACAATGCAAGTATTCTTTTCCAAGAGCCCAGAGTGTTACTATGGATATGAACAGCAAATCAAAAAACCAATTTTGGAATTTATGCAATCTTTAGTGTCATTTTGGAATTTGCGGCTGTCCTAAGTCACACCGTACTTCAAAAACCACTCCACTTCAACTATCTTGGCTTGCACACTAAATATCCACAATATCAACATAATTATGGATGACTCTGATTGATACCAGAAAGCAAAAACACTTGCCTTTTGATACTTTCTTTGGCTTCAACTCCACCATTTAAATTCTCAAATTTTTATTAAGTTACCTTACAAACATCCCAGGTCCTGCTACTCTGAATCTTTAAATCCAGAAGCTTCTCCATTTTCTACTTAAAACTTATTCTTTCTCTCAGCTCATTTACTGATAAGATAGCATAAGTCAACAACAAAAACATAGGAGCCTCATCCTGTATTTGCTTCATAAATTAAAATTATCCATGAATAAAGGGCTTAATGCCTGTCTTTGATGTATATCTATGGTGATAGGTAAAGTCGATCATCACGGTCGACCGCGAGCAACAAAAAACCATACTGAGTCTCTGGACTCAAGGCGGTCGACCGTGGCGATCGACCGCAAACTAATATATGACAATATGTAGGTTTGAAGCAGTTTTCTGATTTTGAAACCCTGTTTAAAATATCAAAAATTTTAGAAAAATATAAAACTTTGGGAAATGATTATAGACATGATAATAAACATGCTACAAAAACTGGTTTTATAGACTTAAAGAAAGATATAAACTATTGTTATTAAGTCTATAAACAATGAATACAATATTTTCACAAATACAATAGAATATGAAACATATGAGTATGTATATGAATATATTTTTGTTTCATATCTATGAATTTAAACCAAAACAACTTATCCACATAGAAAATGAATATGTATAAATAATTTTTTGAATTTGTTTGTAAAAACTTTGTTTGTGGATAAAACCAAAAACCAAGATGTGTATATATATAACTATATATATATACATAGAACCAATAAAATGTGTGTGTATATGATTGAGCTTAAAGTACGAACACACATAATATAACACCTAAACTAAATGTTACCCAAGCAGTCTTGATCTTCAATAAGCTTGACTTGGTACACTTGCGGATGAAGCTTGAACTTGAATCTTTAACTTGAATTGTGTTGCTTCATTCAACTATTTCCGTCAACCTCCATTTGATATGATCGTTGTAGCGCAATTCCATCCATCCTCCAACATATTGTTTGTCTATAATAAATAGATAAACACAAACACTAGACAAACAACATTAGTGGTAAATTATTTGTTAAACATTATTAAAACAAAGAGGCCAACAGATTTCTCCCTGGGACTGGGGAGTGGAGATGTAGGACGGAAGGTCCGAACTCCGTGATCATCTTTGTGTGTTTGTAATTGCCTAGGTGTCTCACTTGTGCTTATTGTTCATTTCATTCTTGTCGCCATTATCTATTGATCATAGTGACCACTATCTTGTTTGTGTTTATATTACCCTTAGTTTCATATCCTCGCTCATATATCTCATAATATATATCATTATTAGGATATTGGCATTTGTTCATATTGCATATTCTTGCTCATAACATATTGTATATCTATCTTGCAAGAATAATATTTGAATTAATTTTAAATCGACATAAAATCGGATTAGATTAACATAAGACCCTAATCACCCCCCGCCTCTAGGGTCTAATACTTTGCGCTTAGACCCAAAAAACCAAAAAACAAACTTTATGGATTAGATATTTAGTTAAAAATACATTGTAGCTAACCACTTAAGATAAAAAAATAATGACTCACAATATATACAAAATCATTAAATTAAAAAATAGATTTACATATAATATTGAGTACTTTGTGTTTAAAAGTAGCTTTGAAAATGAGCGAGTTTAAAAATAAATAGTATGACTTTTGATTAGAACGAAAATATACAAGATTATAACAAAATAAACTCAAATATGATGAGTGGTGAAAATGTGAAGTGAGTTTAAGTTTTGTTCTTATGAGTATTTTGGATCTCAAGAGTGATCTTGGAGATGAGTGAATTTAATAATAAATGAAGGCAAGATTTTGGGCGTATACGCAAGAATTCCTTTTAGGAAGAGAGTAAGTTTAAAAGTCAATAGGCTAAAATTTTGAGTTTATACACAAAAAAATATTTTCTATGTCGCCTCATTGGCATGGTAAAAAACAAAAATGCAACACTATTAAGTATTTTATTTATAAAATACATGGTGCACCAAAATAGTAGAATTTCTATAAAAATAACCTCTATAAAAATAGGGTGGTTTACACCATTAAATGAATAACCATAATTTACAAACTAACCATTTAATCACTCATGAGTGGTATAGATTACCCTACTAGGTAAGGTGTTCTGATAGAATCCCTACTCTACCTAAATACTTAGAAAAAAATTTACATGTTACAATAAAATATAACAACTTACATGTATAGAAAACTGCTAGAATGTTTTTTATTTAGAAAAAAATCTTTGTAAAGTGGGTGAATTGAAAAATAAATTAAGCATAAAACCTTGAACTTATAGGAAAAAACATATCTACCATTTACAACATGGGAACAATATGAAAAAAAAACCTAAACTAATGCTTAAGCATTTGGTCTAAAACACTATACACCTAGATTCATAGAAAAAAAATATAGCAAGTCAAAGTGGAATATAACAACTTAAACCATATATACAAACGTCACAAATTGAGCTTAAAAATAGGTTGGTGCAATTTTTTTTTGTCTTCGAGAGTGATTTTCAAGGTGTGTAGTTTAAAAATAAATGTATCTAATACTTCAGATTTATAATAAAAAAAATCCGTGTAATGGGTAGGTTTGAAAATAAATAAGATAAGATTTATAGCTAAATAATCAATCAATAGTTGCAACTTATGATATAACAAATTTATGAAATATAAATTAAGTTTAAAAGTAATTCACTAGAGTATTTTAGGTCAAAGACTAATTATGAAGTGAGTGAATTTAACAATAATTAGGGAATTTTGGGTTTCTAGCAAAATAAACTCTTTATATGGTCCTTCATTATATTATTATATTATATTATTGGAGTTGATTGAGTATTTTAGGTTTATTATTAATTTTTTAAGTGGATGCAATAAAAAGTAAATTGGGTTACCACATTGGGTTTATAGATGAAATCTTATTTGTTTGTTATTACTTTTAACTACATTTATTTATTTATTATATACTTGAGATGTATTTTTTAAATGATGGACTTATAAGCAAATTGGGTTGAACGATTAGATTTGTAAATAAAAATTACTTATTGTTTTTTTTAACAATAAGCTATTATGTCTACTATAGAATAAATAGTGCCCAGCTAAATACAAACTCCAATAGCTTTATTAAAAGGGTGACACTAGGGGCACACTCCCAACCACACCCCCTCTCTTATGTGCTACAGTGTACCGGTTCCCATATGAGATTTTAAAATTTTAAAATCCTATGTGGAACCTGGTGCGAGATGTGGTTGGGGGTGTGCCCTGTCATTTTTCTTATATAAAGGAAGGAGATAATAAATTGCGGCAGTGTCTAATCTCAATAATATCAGGAGGGGAGAAGGCCCAAAATGGAGGATAAAGATGAGCAGGAAAAATTAGGAGGTTGTGGTCGCAACTGCCTATCCAAGTGCTGCCTTTCTCGCCAAGGTACTGTTGCTCTCTACAAGATCTTCATCATTTACTAAATCAATATCACTTCATTTGTAAAACCCATTTTAATCACGATATAGTGTACTATATATATAAGATTAATTGCCCACCTGTAGTTTGTTGAGAATTCGTGCTTTACTTCACTGAATTTTTGCCGTGAGACCAAAATCCTAATTCGAGAATTAAATACTCGAGGAGTGTGATGTTGGACAACTTGGATATCTCGATTTCAGACACGGCCTCAACAAAAGATAAGGTGGAAGAAAGGATAAATGAAGTGGTTCTAAATGATTGAAGCTTGAATTGGGAAGAAACAGGCCTTTTCTATACCAACTAAATTTGTTGAAACTGGGCACGAACGCTTGATTTCCACGTTAGGATATGACAGTGCCAACATATTTCTCATATGGTTTAAATCTTCTCGAAAGCTGTGTAACGGAACCTTTTTCGCCATTACTTCATATTTCTCATATGCTTACTTCGTATGCTCTTATGATTTATGGAGGTTTTCTCATGATGACATCTAAAGAGAAGAACATGAAACTTACTGTGCAAATGTGAGATTAAGAGGGAGATGTCATGCTGGATCTCTTCAAAGATACTATGCTAGATCTCTAACATATGTGAAAAGCTAGTTGATTTTATTGCCATGACCTTCCTTTAATTTAATTCATGTAGTGAGGATGCCTGATATCAATGGGTTATTTCGTTTTCTGCACAAATCTCAAATCTTTGTTCTAGATAGAGTTCTTCATGCGAAACGAAACAGGGGGTCCATCGGAATCAGCGATCTAATTTGAACAAAGCACCGTTTCGCCAAAATTCATAATATTCGGTAGGAAATTAATTAAAGCAGTTTATGCGACAGATGGATTTTAACAAGATTTGCAATGATAGTCATAAACAATCCCAATGTCGAATAATTTAATTGCAATATTCATTATCATTGCACAAGTTTTACAATCAATATCAAGTTTTAACAATCACATGTTCAGTTTCCCTCAACTCACAATTATACTTTAAGCAGTGAATATATTAAGAGTTTAAAAATGTATTATTCATGCAATTAACAAAATGAAATCAACAGAAAAATAAGGGACGAAAGAAAACGAAACCTTCGTCGGTCTGAACAGACTCGACATGAGAGACCTCTGGAGGTGGGACGACGACAACGGTGAACTGAACGACGACGACGAGGCGGAGATCTGACGACGACGAGTGCAACGGTGTTGAACTGATAACGACGTGGTGACGAATCTGAACGACGAAGGTGGCGGCGATTCTGAACAACGACTAGAGTGACGACGTCGGTAAGGTTGACGGGACGATAGCGATGTGATGATTTGTGGTAAGCGGCTGTGGCAGTGGTAGTATTGCTCTGGTGGGAAATTTTGCCAAACAGTTGGTGTACATGAAGGCGGCAGTTGCTGGGAAAGGAGGCTCAGTGGCAGTGGGAGTAGGGCGGCTGCTTGGGAGGAGATGATGGCGCTGGTAGTGCGGAGGTGGAGATCAAAGGCGAGCTGAGTGTGGATCTGGTGGTTGCAGGGAAGAGGAGGGTTTGACTGATTGTTGACGTGGGGAAGACGAGGGAATGCTTGGCGACTAGAGGAAGAGGACACAGGGAACGACTTAGGGTTTCACACCCGAGGCCTGGGTTTCACACCCAAGGCTTCACACCAGATTTTAGCTAATGCAATTTTTCATTCAATAATTCATTGATTTTTAATAGTCTCAAACAACCTTATTTATAAAAAAAACTACGTGCACACAACGTACAATAAAAATAGAAACAAACAACAATCCCTCAAACCACTCAACTAAAATTAAACTAAAAGTCAAAATTCAAAATTCAAAATTCAAAATTCAAAATTCAAAATTCAAAATTCAAATTTTAAATTTTAAATTTTAAATTTCAAATTTCAAATTTCAAATTTCAAAATTCAAAAATATATCAACTAATCAAATATTGCCATTTCTTGTTCTCATTAGTTCTCATTGTAGGTGTTGTAATGGTTAAAAAGGTTCATGTCGAGCAAGGGAGTTGTAAGTTTTCATTTATGTCATTAGTCATATAGGTCTGCTAATGTGCTATTTGTTAAACCCATAAGGATAGAAAATTTCAGAGCTACATTCAAGCGGGATAGTAGGGACTAGGGAGATGAATCTATATGACCCTTTTATTCATAACAACGAAAGGGCGAAGGTCGTAATATAAAGCATCTGAAAGATGCTGAACTTGCAGTGGGACACATGAATAATACATAATATAATAAAGATAGAAATGCCATTGGTGCAAATTGGATGTTTGTACCTGACAAGGAAATACGTAAACTGAAACTTGTTTGTTACATAGAGTAATAGAGATAGAAATTTGTTGTTCATTTTCTCACCGAGAATTGACTAAGGCATTTGACTGGCGACATCAGGCAATAACCCCGGTGATCACCATGTTGTCTATGTGTTTAGATCTATGCAGAAATGCCTATTGATTTACTTGACTATCCTATCCGACAAAGTCATTGGTGTGCGCTCAATCAGATAAGTCAACATCAATTAGTAGCTTGGGAATAATTGAAGTTTTATGTGGTGTTTTCCACAGTTCATTGCATTACAGTTACATAACTATACCTCCTGTGCTGATTCATGAAAATGTCCTTGAATATTTTGGCTGGTTATAGTTTGCTGCTTGTGTAATCCACCATTCCAGAATGATACGTTTGGGGCAGTCTTTGATGGCTACCCTAATTTTTCTAATGAAATTTCAGAGGTGTAAATGTTCTTCTAGTCACTGCAATATATAGTAAACAGAATGAAAACCCCATGAATCTGTCTTAAAGGTGAGGAGCTGGACTGATGATTGGGAGTCGGTGGGCACAGAGAGCTGTTAGGGAAGTATGTGTAGATAAAGAAAATTCAAGTTTAACTAGTATAGGATGGAAACCTGGACTTATCTTGCATACCACTTCAAGCACGAGAAGGCTACGCTTTGGAATTGTAAATTGTGAAATTGAATCGAGCAAAGGAAGCCATGTACAGATGGAGACCATAATTTGACTGAAGGGAGAAGGACGTTACTTTCTTGCTTGCTTCAATAAAGCCAAGCTTTCTGCTTTATTCATTGAGGAAACTGTGCCTTCCTATGTATGGTCATATCTTTAGGTTTTTTAGGTTTTTGTTATTCTTGAAACCAATGAATATTTAATAAACCCTTCATGTAAGAGAATCAACCACTATATCTACCATAGTACTAGTTATATGAAAGGAAAAGAAATCAGAACCATAGAACGGGGAACATTCAGAAACAGATTGAAATCTGATACAATAAAATAAAGAAAATTCAACTCTAGCACGTACCAGGAGGGAAATCGGAAACTTTATTTGTGATACCACTTTTGTGTAGACGCAATAAAACTACAGTTAAACTCAAGTTGCCAAATTGAATCAAAACTAGAAGCTATATAAAGGAGAAGAACTGGACCATCCTTCTTGCTTCCTTCTTTAGAGGCAATCTTTCTGCTTTTTTCAATGAAGAACCAAACCCCATGAAAAGGGAACATTTCAATAGAATGAATTCTGATGGTCCTCTATTTAGGGTCAACCTAAAGGCATCCTGTTGAGAGTTTGCATCAAGTGCAGTGCATTTGTGAGAAAGCAGGCTTTTGGGTGGTTGTAATTTTGCAAGTGTTTCATTTCCCCAGTGGTCGGTGCACCTAACTGGTTAATCACTGATCCTTATTATTTTGGAGTCTTGAGTCTTGGTAGGAGCAATGCTTGTGAAATTGGGAAGCGCTGCCATATTTAATTCTTATTCTTAGAAAATATGCAGAGGTTGCCAGGTACTGACCAATGTTATTGATTGTATCGTAATCATACCTCAAAATGCAATTAGCTCTATTCTTCTTAGGGAGTACTATATCTATTCTCGTCTATTGCATTTTAATTGTGATTGATGGTTGGAAAGATAGTGATATGTAGATATTAGAGGGACATATTAGGATTTGGGGGATGGAGAATTGAGTCTTATTCCAAGATATGCCTTACATTCTTGAATGATTTGAGGTGTGGAATTTATTCATTACAATTATTTGAAATTTAGACCAGGTTGTTTATGTTTAACCCAGAAGTTTGGAATAAAACTTTGCTGTTTTAGCTTTGTCATGTTTCCAATTATTGCTTTTTTAGCTCGTAACTTGTTAAGTTATTGGTGACTGATGCAATTTAAGGGGTCGTGGTCATACAATTTATTCATTACAATTATGTCACCTTTCAGTGGTTAAATGTTTTAGTCATGCCTATCATAATGGTCTCAATGGCGGAACCATTGACTGTGAGATAATTCCTTTCTGCTTTATTTGTCATGCCTATCATAAAGGTTCCAATGGGGGATGACAAGTTACAGTGAGATAATCCCTTTGTAATCGAACTGAGTATCCATGGGCAATACTTAGTGGCAAATTGGCACATATTCTAAGGTTTCAGGATTTTATTTTAACTATTAATAGTGATAAAAGTATCCTTACCAACTAAACTGAGTGTCCATATGTTAATTAGAGACTAATAGATCAGTATGTCCTATGGTTTAAGATTTTTATCTCACTCTTTCTTTAGAAATATCTTTTTATGTCAGTTGTCAATTACTGATGTGTTCACTGTTTGGAACTGTATTTGCTTTTTTGCTGGAAATCTCTTGCATATCTGAACCTGTATAATTTATGCTCTTGTCACCAGCGGAACCGGGTGTCCATTTTCAACAGCGCTCTTAAGTAGGCATGTTATAGGTTT